GTCCATCAGTCAGCTGGATTTGTTGCTGACAGCTTTATGGGCTGTGCTTTAATTTGGCGAGCTCCTACCCCCCCATGCCAACATGCCTCTCTTTGTGGCTGTGCAGCTCTGTCACATTGTTTGCCTGTGAGATGGCTACCATGACTTTTATTATTATTTTTTTCCACTTCATTAGTTGTTTCTTTCTCTTGTGTCATTTCTCAAGACAGCGCACAGGTGCTCTGGTCTGTCCTGGGCTCTGTGCTTTGAAAGGGATCACAGAGAGCTTTGATGTCTCCCCCCTGCTCGGCGCTGAGGCCTCCACACGTGTTTACCATACAGATGACCTCAGAATGGCAGGAATGCTCCATGTAGAGGCAGAGGACAGTATGATGGCTCCAGTTTGGGGAGGATTTGGACTGCAGTGGTTCGACATTCAGGGTCCGATGTGTTGGAGAAACCGGCTGCTGTTGTCTTTAGCGTGGGGTTCAGATAAAGCATCAATACGGTCAAACACCAAAGTAACTGACATTTATTTGAAATATGTGCTTTCAGGATTAGATGGATTTCTCCCATATGTGACTCTGATCATGAGCTCATGTCCACAATAAGGTGAATAAACATGTACAGCAACGTGGAAACGACTGTCGGGGTGTTCAGAGGTTGTTTTAGGTCTCGAATGCAGCATCAGCAAATAAAACAACAGCTGTGCTTCGTTTTTCCACCTCTTACCTCTTCAGTGATGCTATTGTGCAGATTACTTGGTAGGAAGCAGGAATGAAGGCAGGAACATGCCTCTGTCAGTATGTCTATGACTGTGAGGGGGATTGTTCTGAACATCGCTCTTCTTTTTCATTGTACGTCGTTAATATTTGCTTTCTCGTGTTTCCTGCCTCCCACAAGCTGTTGGCTCGACCAGTCAACGTGCACCTGTAGTGTTACCTGTAGCATCCTTCTTTGTGTAGGTTTGTGTGATTTTAGGATTTCATTCTGTCTGTTGTTTTGGCGTTTAAACCTCCTGCATGCTGTGATCACGGCTCATAAACGCTGCCAAGATGAACAGCGACTGTTACAGAACGATTGATAAAATCAGTGCGTCGTGATTGCAAACAGCATCAGCAGAAAAACAAACAGAGAACCAGAGATGTGTCGTGTGAATAACTGAGCTGAAATTAAAAATCAGCAAACCTTCTAGTTGACAGAATATTTCCCTCTGAGCGTGTGGGTGGCCGACATATGGAGAGCAGTTTAGTGAAACGTTGATTTTGGGTTGAAGAACAAACGTGGAAAGACGGCAGAAAGTGGAAGAAGATGCATCGTCACATTTATTTGTCGTAGCCTTCGTGCACTTTCACTGCACATTTATTTTCTGAGTTTGCAGAGTGCGTCCTGGCTCTGGGCTGCAGCAGACCTGAGATGTCCTCTGACAGGTGGTCGCCTTTTAGCATTAATTTCCCGATACGTCAACTTGGTGCTACAGCTCCTGTGGCCGATGCTCGACTTGGAAAATGAATGATTTAATGAGTTTCCGTGTGCAGTCATGAGTGTAATTGTGTTAAATGATCCAGTGCGCTCCTTTGTGTCAGTGCCATGGTGGCTTTGTTTTAATCCCCACATCCTCTGGAGATGGAAGCAAAAGTCTGTTGGTTTTTAATGCAGTCACAACTTAAACCCAGCCCTCCTTTCTTTGGTGCTCACTGGAGGTCTCTCAGGTTTGTCGATGGCCTCATGTTCTGTGTGTTGAAGTTTGGAGTCCTTGATTGAAGCCGAGCCTCCGCTTTGCTGTTGAAGTCCAACTATTCACGTTAATGATGTTCAGCGTCAGAACTTAACCGCTTTGATAAGCATTCGTTCAGATTGTGCTGCTGTGTTCCATTTGTCTCTGAGTGGTTTGGTTCATTATGAATGCCAGAAGCAAACAGCTGCTGTAAGAGAACGCAAAAAATAAAATCATCAACAGTTTCCAACCGGCTCCGTGTACGATTTTAATTTATCGGGACTGCGAGAGCCTTTTAATGCTGATGAATGGAGCCTTTGGTAATTTGATTACTGCATTTAGGACACGTGCCACACACACACACACACACACACACGCACACACACACACACACACGCACACGCACACACACACACACAGAGACACACACACTAAAGCAGCTCTCTCCCTCTCTGACTGGAAGCGTTCTAATTGAGTCAGTAGCTGATTGGTCATTAAGCAGCTTGATTGACTGATCTATTGACGGTCTCCTATACGGGCTCTTTGAGATCTTTTGGGGTTTTTTTACAGACATTTGTTGCTCTCCAACGGTCTCATCAGGAACCGGTCTGTGTTCTCGTCCACTTCATGTCCATGTTAATGAATGTGTTCATGAAGCAGCCGGTTGGACGGATTCAAACAGGTTGTTTTAACTCTGCTTTAGTTTAATCTCTGGTTCAGACAGGACAAAAGTCAAGGTTTTCGTGGAAATAAACAGAATTTTTCCCTGGTTTTTGCAGCTCATTAGGCGGTCAGAGGGAGGGCGATTACCGTAAACGGAGACAATGAACAAACACGTTTTTAAAGTTGCACTAACTGCCTTTAATTACAATAATAGAGGCTGCTGCATGAGCAGGTCATCGTCCTCTAGAACCGAACCAGCACGCATCACTGAGTAATGTAGAGTTTACAGTCATTCACAGGAATGGCTAAATGACTTTATGTGATGAAGCTTTTTACCAACAGTGAGTTCTAAACCGTGACCTACAACCAGAACTGGGTAGAGCTGTAGGATCTGGTTTCACAGATCACAGGACGATGGTCGCTCAAATAAAACTCACGTGTAGTTTACAGTCAACCTTCATAGGATTGTTATGCACGTAGTTGTGATTAATAATCACAATAATTAATAAGTTGAATTATTGCAGGTAGTGGTGATCAGTGATTAGTGGTGTTTGTATATTTTACCTCGTCCGTGTTCGTGGCCTCACTTCGTTTGTCTCAGGAACCAACGTGCCCACGGCGGTGCTACAACTACATCCATTAATACCAGTAAATGCTCATTCAGATGAACAGCTGACACATTATTTAACAGCAGATGACGAGCAAACAGTGGAAATGACATCATCCAGCTGTATGGACTGATGTCCACATTAGGATGGATCTGGAAGCACAAGACATAATGCTGCTCGTGTTCTGTTCATACGGAGCAGATTTAAAATAAAATGGATGCACAGATGATGACTGGAGTCCTTCCTTACATACGGGGATAATGTCATTTTGCTGAAGCCCTTCCACATCCATGTGCTCTTCAACGTCGCTGTTTTTCCTCAAGAACAGCGTGAAGTGCTGCATGTGTTCGTAGCGCTCTGATCAGCGTTTCTAACAAACGTAGCCGAACAGCACCGCAGGTTCCACTGAGAGACCCGACTCTGATCAGACAGATCTGTGCTTAATGTGTTCTGTGTTTCATAGCGTGGTGTCAGGTCTGCCTGCAGAAAAGGCTTCTAAAATCCTCAACAAGCTCAGTTTTTTTATTATTTAGTAACTGGCCGTGGGTTTTTACCAAATGTCATATTGGTGTAGTTTATCAGCAGCTTCTTCTTCTCCTTGTCTAATAAGCAGGATGATCACAATGTGCTCACGTTCCAGGATGACGGTGCAACTCAGCTGAACAAAACCAAGAGAGAGAAACTTCACGAGCGCGTTTTATGGCTTTAGAAGTCTGCACATGAGACTGACCCAGATCAGAAGTGGAGGCGTTGCTTCCTGGATGGCAGTCAGACGTCCTACTGAACACTCTGAGGTTGTTCTCAGTGAGCTGCCCTCTGCCCAGAGTTTGATCTTTATGCATCAGGGCATTACACTTTGCCCTGAAACTAAGATCCGTGCTCTGCTCTGCTCTCTGCATTGCTGCTACTTTCAGAGTTTGTTAGTGTGCTGAAGAAAAACCCTCCAGTAGACCTCTCAGGCTGTCGTCTTCCTACCAACACCTGGAGCAGTGAGCTGGGCTTTGTGAAGGCACGCTGCAGCCGTAGTGTTTTCTAACTTTAAAACGGGGCATGGCTGTGGAGCCCTGTCCACTGGTGTCCACGTGGCTCTAAATCACCTCATTAATCTGTTTCCTCTGCTGAAGACGTCGGGCCCAGGCTGCCTTCCATTAGGAGGAATCCATTAGACATGGTCCTGGTGAGATGGAGCACGCTGAGGAAACCTTCTGTGTTCACATGAGCGTGTCTCAGATCCCAGTTGTCCTGTTGAGGATGTACATTTAAATGAGGGCCACTCTGACAGGCATGATTCCTCAGAACAGACCTCAGAGGGTCATTTACCTGCACATACAACTGGTTTAAGTGTGGCCTGCTGCTTTCTGAAGCGGATTGGGTTTTCAGTCACGGCCGCTGATGAGGACGTGTGTGTGGTCTGCACTGTGACTCTGAGTGTGATGGGAATCAGGTTCCATTCATCCTGGACTTATATTCAACCTTAATGAAACACCTGAGACCGGTGCTGCCAACCTCGGGTCTCTACGAGCATCCAGAGGACCCATAACGAAGGGATAATAAGCTGCACTGGGCTGCTCAATCGGACTCCTGTGCACCACGACTGTCCTGTAATGACTGGCCTCGGTGACTATTTGTTCTTTTTCCTCATCAGTAGGTTTCACATGTATAATGTCTGCATGCTGATCTGTACAGCTGGTGGCACGCTGGAAGAGTTCATAGTTTTTAAAGATTTTAAGAGCTGATTCACTGGTTAGTTTAAGAGCCACAGTCCTGCTGTAGACATGTCCAGAGGTTCTATCCATGGCTTCTGCAGATGTACCTCTTTGAGAACTTTATAATTTAATCATTTGTAGGTGGTTGGTGTCATTAACTTGACTATCAGCTGGTTACCTGGTTCTGTAGACTGATGTCTTGCTGCTCAGTCTGAGATGACGTCCTCGTGTTTCTGTCGCTCTCCACGTTCTGCTTGTGAACTTTTTCTCACCCTGCATGTCTGAGCTTCGTCCTAATCTGTTTGTTTGCTTCCTGTGTCTCCTCAGAGATCAGAGCCCAGTTGGTGGAGCAGCAGAAATGTCTGGACCAGCAGACAGAAATGCGGGTCCAGCTGCTGCAGGACCTGCAGGACTTCTTCAGGAAGAAGGCAGAGATTGAGATGGAGTACTCCAGAAACCTGGAGAAACTGGCCGAACGCTTCATGGCAAAGACTCGCAGCACCAAGGACCACCAGCAGTACAAGTAAGGAGGCGCTGGCGTGATGCTCGCTGTGCTCAGTGTGTTGATGATGTTTAAAAAGCCGGAGTGACGGTTGTCATCGTCCTCTGGTCTGGTTCATTTAACTACAGCAGCCAGGCAGAACTTCTGCTGGACTCGCTGATTCTCTAAAGAAGCTTGAAGCGAACATTGTTCTGATGGTTTTAGTCGAAGTCCAAAGTCAGTCGATCAAGGAGAGAAAAGCATCAGTGATGATTGGAAACAGTTTGTCTCTGAGGTTCTGGAGTCAGATTGTTCTTCTCTTCACCTCCACAGCTACGAGATCCATTTATGCAAAACTCTACCACAGCATTATTAGAATCCTTCTTTAAAGCTGATTTTTTTTCTCATGAATAACGTTTGATTTAACTGCAGGCTGTGAAATGAGTCTTTGCTCCACAAACATGTTCACGTTGAAGCTTTGTGGGTTCTTAGTCGTCCAGGAGGTTTTGTAAATAATCCTTCCTGACTTTTTATTTTGCATTTCTGTATGTTCCACAGTTTGGTGTTGTGTCGTACAGCGCAGTAGAGTTCTGGGTTTCTCTGACCCGCTCACATAAACTATGTAGCACGGAGTCCATTTAAACCCATGTATGTTGAGAATCATGACTTATTCAGTGGATGTCGCCTCAGCGTGAGTATTGTTCTGATGCTGGTGCCGGCGCCAAACTACAGCCTGAAGCTGGCAGAGGTCTGATGTAGAAACATCTGATTAGGACAAAGAGAAAATGAGAGTTTAACGGCCAGATTTGGATCGATGACAGTTTCTGATAGTTTATATTTTTGTGATTATTTCAGGCGGCACTTAAGCAGTATTTGGGTTTCCACCCAGACACGGATACGCTCACTGAGTAGAAAACAGTTCTGCTTTATGAGAAACTCTAAAGAGAAGTGCAAGAAAAGAAAAAACCTGATTTTCATTTTCTCATGGAGATAAAGTGAACCTGGCTGTGGAGGTGCATATGAAGAAAAAGATTAAATGAAATGAGATTCTTTATCAAACCGCTTCCTCGTTCCGTCTCCTCGTTCTCCGGCGTCTTCCTCCCTCCGTCCTTCCTCCGTATTCTCCGTGCATCGCACACTCGGAGCCTTTTTATAGATCTTGACACAGTTAAGTGCGCTGTAGTTTTTGGCCTTATTACACCGTAGGAGTCTGCTCGTGGAAAAAGCAGCCATTAGCATATTGTTTGAACTTGCAGTGGGAACGAAAATAAAACGTGTGTTTGTCCTCGCCGTCTGCAAATAGCCCCTGCTCGCCGTCTGAAGCGGCGATGGCTCTAGCAGCTGTGTGCGCCGGCTCTGGGATGGCGCTCTGTGGTTTGCATTGTGTGATGTACAGTCTGGTCACTTCATTCACAGGGTAAACATTTGGCAAGTGCCTCGGAGCGTATTTCCTAAGTAAATACAAGACGTCTGAACAGCATTAAAAACCCTCCTGTGGGTTTTTAATGCTGCGGCCCATATTTTTTTGTATTCACATAAACACGCGTACAGTAAGGCTTCAGTGTTCGCCGGCTTGTTTTCATTGGACAGAATCGGTGTGAGAGGTGTGAAAAAGTGCGTTTTCGTTCTGTCTGATGCCTCGAGCCAGTTTTCACATGACAAGTCTTCCTGGCAAAGCAGCAAAATGCTAAAGCGGCGTTAAAACGAGCAGCTAAATCTGGTAATTAGTCAAGACACGCTGCATTCAGAAGAAGGATGCTGCTGTGTCTGGCGCTAAAGCTGCATTTCTGAGTCTGGTTCGTGTGACTGATGTTGAACCAAGCTGACAAGATGCCATTCTCTCATTTAAACCTCCATCAGCATGCAGCATTTGTGGCATATTGAGTTTGTTTGGACGGTTTCGGGGAACATGCCTCCTCTCATGGGTTTGTTTCGGCTGTCACAGAGCAACAAGGCGACACACAGGTGGAGGTTGATGATATCCTCGCCAGTGAGGCTACAAAGACATGATCCCACTCTGTCCTCCCACCAGTCTGCAAACGCTGCCTTTGTGTTTGTTGACGTGCATGACAAGACCGAACCGAGGCGTCTGCTGGCGGAAGACAAACGTGTTCCCCTTCAACCACCGATATGTTGCTATAAAGATCTCAAGCTGCCTCTCTTTCACGCTCCTTTGAGCCGGCAAAAAGTTTTGTCACAGCGGGGAGTCCGGTCCGTGATCTACCTCAGGAGCGAGACCAAGTTTGTGTTTGTCAGAAAGCACCGACTCTGCAGCACCTGCGGGAGCAGCGCTGTGGAGAGGAATGCATGTTGCTGCCGGGTCGGGCTGTGGAGTCTGAACACTGTTGGCACGACAGCAGTGGAAGATGGATGATGCCAAGCTAAAGACAAAAATAGCTCACCAAGAAATAAATGTTATTTTAATAATATTAGCCGTGCTCGTTTCTGAAGGTGGCCGAAGATCCATCAGGGTTTTATGAGCGCAGGATTTATTGTTGGCTCCTGCACAGGAACACGCTGTAGTTCATAATGACATAAGAGGTAATAATTCAGCAGGTTAATTTAATTTCTTTCTGGCTTTATCGCCTATGAGCTGTCTAAACACATTAGTGTCTTTGCTAAGTCACTGCTGTCTGATGCTACAATCATGTTCTGTGATGCTGCTGCTCCCTGATACTTCCTTCCTTTAAATAACATGCATTAGCCCTTGTACTGGTCTGGCTGTGTGGCATTAGCCCTTGTACTGGTCTGGCTGTGTGGTATTAGCCCTTGTACTGGTCTGGCTGTGTGGTATTAGGACTACAGCACAATAAAACACTCTTAGATCAAATATTGTTCTTCTGCTCCACAGTTAGATATCAGATCTGTTCCAACTGTTGTTCTCGCTCCTCATCACCACCACCAGTAGATGCATTGCACAGTCATGGAAAACCCGTAAAGAGTCCCAGTTAAACTTGATAATTAGTCGTTATAAAGTCAAGTCAGGAAGCTCCACTGAACGCACGCCGCTCTTCCTGATGTGTAGTATGTAGGGCAAAGCAACGACGCAGTGAATCTACAAACATTCAGAGTCTGTAGCTTCCAGGATGTCGGGCAGGAAAACGAGACAGCGGCGACTTCTGGTTACAGCAGATGCATTAGTGGCTTTAGATGATAAATAGCCATTAACGTCCGAGGGAGGAAAAAAGGTTCAATACCACCACTGTCCTCCGCTTTTCTTCTTGTAAGACAGCAAAACAACAGGCCGGCATCCCGGTGCCAGCAGCAGCAGCAGTCTGTGGCAGAACCATTCATTTGTGTTTCAGCGACTGTTTGCAGAACGCACACACACACACACACACACACACACACACACACACACACACACACACATGAGCAAACAACCAGATACTGTATTATGCAAAGTTTGTTCAGGGAGGGACACGGCGATGGCGAGCAGAGGACTCATTGAATTATTTATGTGGCCAAAGTCACAGCCGGGATTGTCTTAAATCGGCTGCTTTTATCTGGAACTAAGCTTCTGGTTAAATGACTTCTTCAATTGGTCCCCGAGGATGAAAAGAAGGTGTAGAACATGTTGAGGCTTCACCGTGTCACACACTACTACCTGCAGGGCATCCAGCGTGCACGACGTTTGATTAAAGAACTTTTATTTTTGGGGACCGGTCATGCAGAGACGTTTCCTCTGCTTGTTAATTAGGCTCCAGCACCTTGTTGCTTCCTTTTAAAATTAAACTTCTGAGTGATTAGTAAAGTTGGACAGAAGTGGTGTTGCTGCGTACCGGGTCGAGGTAAAGGTGTATTAATGAAAGATGTTATCAGTCAGGCACTAAAGGACTTTTTGCCTCTGCTGCTGATAGGAGCTCCCGTCTCAACAGCCTGCATACTGAAGTGCTCATTATCTTCCATTGTCAGCATCCTGCTCCTGTATGAGAGTGCAGCTATGTTAATATTGACCCAGTTACTGGTGGATTTAGGCGGCGTGGACGGACAGAACACACACCCTGACAGGAGGCCGTGAGTTGCTAATGAGTTCCTCCCTACCTGTCTCTTCCTGGACGTTGGCTTCCTCTCTTTCCTACCTGTGTTTGAGCCTCTGTGGGGACCCGTCTGTCTGTCGGTGAGTCTGTCTGACCCAGTTCCTGCCCCGGCTGAGGGGGAAATGATGACATTGAGAGATTTTCCTGCCATTATGTGGGGTAAGCAACTCCCAGAGGGCATTATGTCGTCACAGCCTGTGTGGGTCTCCCGCTTGTTTTCTTAGTCTGTCCTCTTTTCTTTTGACTGCAGCTCTCCGGTTTGAATTAGTAGGTCAGCCCACTGACAAACACACTCACGTACTTAAAGAACTGTTTCTGTATTTGTGGAAGCCAGCGTTTGTGTAAATCTATAATTTTGCAAACTGTGCTTTATATTATTCTTTAAATGGGTCGTTGCCTGACTCCGGGTGAAGGACTGCTGCTGTTTCTACGGTCAGCCCACTGTGTGATACTGACTTTTATAGAACTTGTGCAGTGCTGTGTTCGTTTAGTTTTGGTGTTAATTAGGTGCAAGTTTTCATAGTGAGGAGTCGTGTTGGTGAGTCGAAGCAAACAAAGACGATCTATCAGTCGTCTCCAGTGTTTACTGAAACTTTCCTGCTAATCCGGCCAATGGGCTGCTTTCACTTGTTTTGCATCCAATCATATTGGCTTAATTTTTCTGCACAGCAAGGACAAGCAGTCACTCCTGGACAGCGAGTGTTCAAGAAAAAGCTCCACTGTTAAACTCTGGGAGGAGATTTTATGCAGTTTTGCAGTTTTCTGGTGTGCCATGTCAGTGACCAGCAGCACACGCTAAGTGAGCATGAATTAATGAACACGCACGTGCATGCACACGCATCCTGTCTCCACATGTCTACATTCAGTGCCATACACGGGCAGCGTTGCTCCCCTGATCCACAATGCAGAAGGATTTATGGTGATTGCTGTGCGCTCTGGGACTGCTTCACTTATTTCTTGTTTTCTGGTTTTCTTGTCCCTTACACGTGTCCTGTAGCCGTGGACATGTGGCATCGGCACGTCGCTCAGCTTTTAGTCAGATCAGTTTGTTTTTCATTCACCGTCTTCCTGAAGTCTTTGAAAGATGGATGCTCTCGGATGTTTTCCATGTCGGCGTGTGTGTGGCTCTGCCTTTATCACATGTAGTTTGCTTCCTGTTTTTGCAGAATCTCAGGGAACATTTCAGCTGATTGGAATGTTCGTATCAGTTATTCATTTGCTTTGTTTTTTGCTCTTCCAGCACATGTGCGCTGAAGGCTAGTTCAGGGCTGGGTCACCGCCCAGCGCTGAGCTTCACCTGTTGTGTTGACAAGTGCTGTCTGTCTATGCAAACGGACTCTGTGAGGGGGGAGCAGAGGCGAGTCTCCATATGGTTCCTGCAAGACTTGACCCAAGACCCGGCCTTAAAACCTCTCCCAAGCACACACACACGTGCACAGGCATACATGCTCACACTCTGTGCTGCTTTTTCGCAGGCAGGAGGAATGTTACAGATTAAGCCAGAGGAAGTCGGCCTGCAGGCCGCTGCTTACACAGGGCCCCAGCTCCTCTGGCCTGGACAATGTCCTACAGTTAGCTTGGAAGCAGCCGGCACGCAGCACAGGAAACAGCTCCCAGCTCCTCCAGCTTTTTTTTTCTAATTCTTTTCTATTCTTACCCCTGTGCTGCAGCTTCTCTTTCTTTCCTTGTCTGTCTTCTGCTGTCACTGTTTGTGCATAATTCTACTTTCCCATTTCACTTAAAATACATCTGTGGCTTCTCCAACTTCAGTCTGTGTATCTGAAGTCTGTGGCAGAAGCGTTCTCTGATTGTAGAAAGTCCTCTTGGCTCAGAGCGTTGCGAGAGTTCTGCCCCAGAAACGTCACTGATGCAGAGTATTTCTAGCTTAACTGTGTAGTCCTTGTAATATATGGAGAACCTTTTAGGCCCAGAGCCAGCGGTATATGGGCCATTTAACGCCGAGGGATATCTGTGACGCCTCCCTCGTCTTGCTTCAGTACCGGGCTCCGGTGCACTCGGGGTGTTTGTGAACATCCTGCATGTCGAGGAACTGTCACAGTCTCCCGCTTCAAATGACAAATCGTCTGAAGCCTGACATGGAAACAGACTCACGGGAAAACGTTTGAATATACTGACGCAGACCACGAACACGTATTTTAACGTGTTGGTGCAGGAAGGAACACGGCAGGTATCCAAAGTGTCTGAGAAAGTTTCATGTAAAGCATCCTGCATACCTACTGCTCCAATGTTTGGTCTTTCTAAATGCACCAGACGAGACTTGATCCTATGAACCTTCTGTTCCCACCTGATCTGACACCTGACGGTTTCCCCTGGTTCCTCTAGGAAAGACCAGAACCTGCTGTCACCGGTCAACTGCTGGTACCTGCTGCTGAACCAGGTGAGGAGGGAGAGTAAGGACCATGCGACACTGAGCGACATCTACCTCAACAACGTCATCATGAGGTTCATGCAGATCAGCGAGGACTCCACGCGGCTACTCAAGAAGGTAAGGGAGGAAAACACGTGACCCGGTTGAGTAGCAGCAGCACCAGCACACGGTCGGACTGCATTAAATAGACTGACATCTGTATTCAACACCTAACAGGACTTCTGTAATGTCAGTTTGCTTTTTTCAGTCAAGTTTAGATCAAGACTGCAGGAACTTTGAGAGGAAAATACACGATTTTAGTCCCACAGAAACTGAACACAGAGGAAATCTAATACAGGAGGACACAAACACTGAGGAGGGCAACTAAACATTTCTACTGGTCATGCTGGTATCATCCAGTAAGTCTGTCTGTGTGTGTGTTTGACTGGCCTGCCATTGTAGAGGAAACAACCCGACTTCAGCCTGGGTCAATCCTGCAGAAGAACATCTTATTTCACTCAAATGTTTGGGTCAAGATTCAAGATTTGTTTTAGTCACACGCTCAGTACAGAATCTCTGTATGCATGTGAAAGGTTGAGGGAAACGACAGACTGCATGTGAGGCGTTCAGAGACATTTGTAGCTTCAGAAAACAGCCGAGGTTCCTCCTCCTGAACTGTACGAGTCTCCAGAAGTCCCGTCACGCCACCACTAGCACATATAAACCCTGAACCTCTGAGACACTGGCTGGGAGGAGCTGTTGGAGCATCAGCGTTCTGAGTTGCAGGTGCATGATCTGAAGAGCATCCCCTCTTCTACCAGCACCAGGAGTCAGGAATGATAACAAAATCCACCAGTGATGTAATGCAGCCAAAGAGGAGCTTCCTTTAGCTGACGTTAAGCCCAGATCATGGTTAGGAAACAGAACAAGAGATGTTATTCCTGATTACACACCCTGGGAGGTGACAAAGAGGCTGCGTTCATAATGTATTATTCAGCACAGTGGAACATTTGAGGTTCACCTAAATAGAAAAGAGTTTGTCTGGTGCCTGTGAAGAAATGAGCTGACGACAACACGTCTGCAGAGGACGTCCGTGTGGACCTCGCTCATCTCAGGACTCTAACACACCAATTAAAACACTCGCTTCACTCTGCTCTCATGTGAACTATGTTTATCACAAGTTCACTTTTTATGATGGAGAGCTTTTCCAAACTCCTTCTGGATCTCAGCAGTTTCTCGTCTCTTTGTAAAGTGACTGTTTGACTCGTACAACCTCCCCACTGAAGCTCCTTTCTGCTCTTCTGATGTCTGACCTCCACCAGAAGAGGTCACATCTAACTTTTCTTTTTTTTTTCTTTGATCCACAGAACAGTTGAACTCACCACTAACACAATCCAGATTTTTGGTAGCGGTCAGATCGGGCAGCGCCGTCTCCAGTCCCTCATCTTATACAAACAGTCTTTCATTTTCAATTAACCCGTTCATCTGACATCAGCGTGTACTGAGTTGCCTGATATGCAGGATATGTGCAGCGTGTATTCAGCTTTGATGCTACGATGCTCAGTTGGGCTCCTGTGGTTGACTTTCTGAATTAGAGCAATGCAGTGGAACCTTTTCCACCACAGCTTCAGATCAGTATTCCTTCCGTCTCCCATGGCTTCACGACCAAAACCGATCCGCTGCCTGCTCCACCACAAAGATGACAACTCCCTCGCAGATTATGAGCTCCTATGCTGCAGGAGTCACATGAGCTCACCACAGACCTAAATTACAAAGCGTCTTTTCTTCAGAAGGAGTGTCTTTGTGTCAGTTTAGCTCGCCTGAACTTTTTTTATCCCCGTCTCTGCTTCTTTTTCTTGCCCCGCTTCGCTGCAAACCCTCGGATCTTCGAGAAGTTTAAATTCGTTTTCAAAGTAATTAACGTCTCTTGATGGTCGCGGTTTCATCTGATCGTACGGCGAGTTGGCTCTTTAAATACTCACTCGAACCCCCAGCGCACAAACAGGAAGCTGCAGCAGTCGTTTCCTTTCCAGAGCGCTCTGAGGCCGGTGGTTCTGCTAATGAAGCCAGATGTGAAACAGTCGTTTTTCAGAGGTTGGTTTCGCTGCCTCCCCTGACTCAGCGGACTTTGATGATTATAATGACAGACTACTTTCAGTGCTGATTTACATTTTCTGTACAACTCTGATGGCACTTGGCCAAATCCTCTAAACTCTCTGGTAGCATCGCAGCGCGCCCGTCCTGTCATTAGCGCCGTGGAATGTGCACTATCGCACCACATTATGAAATTGTCGCCCCCTTAGAGTTTCCTCGTGGATCCAGGTGACATTGTTCAGACAAACAGCAGCCTGGTGGGAGGTCCCGGCTCACAGGAGACCTGAGACACGGCTCGCCCTCTAATTAAAGCCTCCCTGAGCCTTTTGATCTCAGCAGAGCCTCAATAACGAGGCGCAAACAACAGAGACGTCCCCCATGTTACGTGGGCTCCCTGGCAGCTCGGAGGAGGCAGCTGCACTGTTGTCATCCTTCCTGCACATCAAAAGACCCCCGTTTTTATTTCCTTGTATGTTCAGGTCTCACGCTGTGAGGTGCAGCGACAGAAGAGGACCCCAGAGTAACTGTGGTGTCCTCGTCAACATCCTCCGGTTGACCTGTTTGCCTTGTGCTTTATTTCTTCGGCGCTGCTCTGTGGTCATTTGCTGCAGGCAGACATACATTCCTGCACTAACAACACTTTTTTTTTCCATCATCTGAACACAAGAGTCAAGCAGTGGACCTCTCCGTCGTTCTTTATGCTTGAACAGATCTGATCACATGTATTCAGTTTCCATTATTCATACAACTGGCTCTTTGTTTCACTCTTTCTGCCCTGTTTTATTTATGAAAGTCACGTTCTGTGGCTGCAGCTCCGAGGTGGGTTTCCAAAGGCTTAAGGCGGTTTTTAAGTTTTCCAGCAGCGAAATATGTCGCAGTGGGAAAGGTGCAAATAATGAACTTTATTATGGCTGAATTCCATTTAGCAGCTTCAGGTTCTAGTATTATGCTTTCTGTCTCACCTACAGTGGACACGACTGCTTTTCATACGCTGACGAGTCAAACGTTCTGCTGTGAAGACGGACTGTTTCTGTAGACGTTTGGTCAGAACGCCACACGATGACCCGCTGAGCACCGATTCACCAAATGAACAGTCAATGGTGACTCTGTGTACTGCAGATATTTTACGACTTACATTTTTAATTTACTTCCATATTTGTCTGCGGTTCGGCCCAGTTCGGCTGAACAGTCACAGAACTTTTTGTCGTGTTGATGTTGGTCACAGCTGAGTGAGTCGTGCAGAATTTCATGTTTTCTACAGAATCTGACTGACAAACGGTTTATTTTTGGTAAAATTTTAAATGAGAGAATAAAATGATTCTGGTGAGATATTGTAAATGTAAGAGTCGTTCAAAACCTTTGTGAGGTTATAAACCGACAGTTCTTTCTGTCTTTACTGTTTCTGACTCTGACAAATGGTGTAAGTTTGACAATCTAAAACAGAACAGATGCCTTTCCAACCTGCCAGTGGGTTCTAGATCTGACTATAAGGCACCGAGCTGGACTCAGGATTCGTTGAGCCGAGCTTAACGTGAATATCAGAGACCTTATTAACCAGAACCTTTCAACACTCACCAACAAACCTGCTTGTTCAGCTCGTACATGAACAGAAGTGCGGCGGCTTCATGTGGAGTTCTGTGAAGACGTTTCTTGGCAGACGACAGCCACAGTGAACATTCAGGTTCGGTACCGTTGTGCCTTTTTGTTGAAACCAGAATCTTTACTCTCTGACCGTCTGTGTTTTACATCCACAGATAGAACTGCTGCAAACTGACCAACAGTTTTAAACTATAAATCTTCATTTTGTGCGTTTCTTCTGGGTTTCAGGACAGAGCGTGATGTAAATAAGGCAGATCAATGAGCTAAAGCAGTTGTTGTATTTCTTCTCATTTTAAACTGTTCCTTTTATATTTAAACGAGGGGGCTGCTCTGTCATTTGGTTCACGTCTATTTCAGTGACAAGACACTCTGATCTATACACTCACACACACACACACACACACTGGGGCCCTGCGGGGTGTACGACTGCCATCACTGCACCATGATTAATCTCAGTGGCAATATGAAACCCACCACTCCCTGAAGGCTGCCTCGGCTTCTCCTCTCTGGGCTGGTTCCATCTCTCTAATGTGGTTGGAATACAGATGGTATGAACTTAAAAGGGAAAACCCATTTGTAGGATCCTTTTAATGAATTAGCCTGAATTGGAAACCCCCCCCGAACTGAAATTCCTTTAAAATGAAAGGGGAGAAGTTGTCACAAATTAAATCAGCGACGTCGGTTCGACAGCCTCTGACGGAGCGACTGTTGATGTGACGGAGTTCATTCAGCAGCAGGTGGAAAGGTGAGATGATTGTGGAGGTTTGCTGCTACAGAAGCTCTCCTCCGTACATGTCCTGAATGTTACCGTCAGCTCTGCCTTCACTTCCCTCACACACACACACACACACACACACACACACACACACACACACACACACACACACACACACACACAGGCTGGCAGCTCATGTGATCCCTGAGAAGGCTTTTCATTGAGCTCTGGATCACTTCCCAGCCTTGTGAATGGGGAAGAGCTGATGTGTGTTAGATGTGACAGATAGTCAAAGGTTCTGTCCACTGAGCTGATGCTTGCTAATGGATTTTCCCACATTCTCCTGGATGCCTGAGGTTAACTTTTTTTCCCCCCAAGTTTGGTGTCTCTAGATTTGAGTTATATCCAGGCTTACATGCCGTCCCCCCCCTTATTAAGTAAGAGCTCCAGATCAGGGAAGTGACGGCCCAGGTGGTGGCCAGGTAGGTGTTGCTGATTGGCCGGGTCACATAGCGTGACTCTCTAATTTCAGATACCAGCCTGGCAGCCAGTGACTGAGCGCGTAATCCTCTTTGCTGTCTATTCACATGCTGGGACGATGTACAGCTTTACCTGTGAGCGACCTGTACAGAGCAGAAGCGAGGGCTTGTGTATTCCTGTACACAGACAGTCCTGGTACAGGCGGTGAGCGTGTGTGATTCTGTCTGAGGACGAGCATGTCACTGGGATTAATGAGGTGTCTGACTGTACCAGAGCGTCTTAGCTACCTGTTGCCAGCACCTGTAAGAAAGCACAGGTGTACACGGCAGCATGATGTGTGTGACTCATCTCAAGTCAGGAAATTCCAAATACTGTCCTGAGGTATGATTCAGAATTACATTTTGCTGTTCGTATACGATGGTCCTAACCACAGAGCTTTAGCAGGTGAGTAATTAGTATAAAATACCTGACACACAGCCAAAGGCATGCCGTGTAATGAAAACGAGTTGAATCTGAGATTAATTGGCTTTATGTAGGGAATTACAAGCATTATAAACTGTATGAAGACGTGACTGTACGGGTCTGTGTGGATGGTGATGAGTCTGGGTGGTACCTGTACACAAGGTGTGACTCGTCATGCTGGATTTTATCACTCACACTTTTAATTTTCATTCTTGTTGTTAATTTTTTCTCCTGCCTGCTCTGTGAGCGCACCGCCTGTAGTTCATCCCAGTCCAGCTGAAACCTCTACTGGCTGACTGCTGGTACCAGCTGATGCTCTAACGGCGCCGCACAGCGAGTGAGCAGTTTATTTAGGGATGTATAGAATCAGTGGATGTGGGGAAATATTACAAGTTTCCAGCTTAGATATGGTGAAGTTTTCATTTCCTACCGGATTCACATGTCACAGATGTGAAGCTCAAGGACTGTTGAATTGCTCTAAACAGGAAGTTTCTCTTTGTTTTTATCATTTCTGTCCCTAATAAATAGTGTAGTTTTGTAAATTTTATAAAAACAAAATGCCTTTCTTTGTACATAATGAAATGTACATCTAAATTCATTCCTTCCCACCAAAACAGTTTTGACATACAGGTTAAGTCTCGATCCCTTTTTAAGAAATTATAATTTAAATATGTCAAATTCTTCAAATTCTTGATCCATTCCTGTTTTTCTGGGCACATCACATCACCACGTGTCAATCAGTGTGAAATATTGATTATACGTCCTAGTGAATACGCACATGGACGCCTGTGAACACACGCAGTTGTTGTTATTTTACTACTTTCTGGTCTGCTTGTAGTCAGATTGATGGATTCTGATCTGAACTTGGGGTTCATTTCCATACATCGTCATGCAGAGCGCTGCCTCTGTAGAGTGCAGCCAGTGTACATGTGTGCCCTGCATCAGGACATCCATGAAGGGGTCCAGGCAGGCTCTCGTGGACTTGGGGAGAAATTGATCTCATGCAGACACTAGACCCTGATGAGTATTGAGCAGATAGAACTCTTTGGTGCTGGTGAACTCACACATTTCTAACAAAACAGGGACCCAACATGACTTTATAGAGCTACTATGAGTAGGAAAGAAATCTCAGAAAGCTTTCTATTCTACCATCGTGGCCCTTTAAAACAAACTCCGCCATGCTCTCCATTTCTTGATCAGAAGTCAGTCACTACTTTTTCCACTACGGTGGGTGACTCCATGCCCTCGTGCAGCCTTTCTCCAGGAGCGGCTCCCAGAATGAGATTTGTCTGAGGATAATTGGGTTAGAGAAAAACCTGGCGAGCGGGCCAAGGCTGTAACATCATCCAGGTAGCAGCGCGTGGTATCGACTGTAGTGGAGAGATCAGAAATTCATTGTCATGACTCATAATCTCATAAACATGTGATACAGTATATGAGTCAGTGTGAAGGAAATATGGAAGCTCCACGGTGAAATTAATAGAAAGAGCCCCTCTAAATCCATCACGCCGTCGCCGTTAAACTGTATCCCACCACCGTGAGATGCATTAACGTGGGCGTGTGTGTGATAGTATTACTGAGTCAGCCCTGTGGCACGGCTGATTGAGTTAACATATTTGAAGAAATCTTTTACATTCAGCCGTGGAGGCCGGCTAATGTGTTGAGCATGTGGACGGCGAAACTTAAGCCGTGTTGGATGATTTAAGCAGAAAAGCTATCGGGACACTGATACCACTCTCACACAGAAGTCCTGTGTTTGACACAGAAGGATAAATGAACCGTTTTCTGTTTTGTGTTTAAAGCCGAGCGCGGTCTCTGGTCAGCATCTGGTCATTTCTATAGAAACCTAATATGTGGTGGACGGTGGGCATTTGCTGAAAAGATTCACTCAAAGTGTTTTCTGCAGTGAAGCTTTAACGCAGCAGATAATTCTGACAAAGTGGTGCCGCTGCTTGTGTTTTATTTTCTGTGTCATAATGGTGATTTTCTGTATTGATATCATTGTTTTCTCTCTCTTTCCTTTTCAGAGCAAGGAAATAGCCTTTCAGCTCCAGGAAGACTTAATGAAAGTCCTCAACGAGCTGTACACAGTAAGTAGTAACGACTGCCTCTTTCCACTAATGCACTTAAGTACATTCATCTTTGCTGTGGTGGAGACTGCTCTATAGCGCTGTGCTAAATAATTTCTAAATATCCGTAACAGCTTGACATCTTTAGCCCCGTCACTCGGATCAGATATCTGGAGGATATTATGCTGAATATTTAAGCGACTGCGCTGCTACGAGAGCGATTGTTCAGACAGCAGGACGTTTTCTTTTACAGCACAGCAGCATAAAACGACCTCCTTTAACCTCATGGACCGGCCGCTGAAAGCCGTGAAGTATCAGCTTTATGTTTGCTCGACTCATTAGAGTGCAAATTCTGTTTTTAATGGCTCTCATCAGCTGTGTTTTCTCGCTCTTAAAAACAAACTCATGCAAAGCCACGCTGGGAGGCTGGAGCCAAACAGCGACTCGGCGTGTAGGTTCCCAGCAGACGGATGGGGAAGCCTCAGGACACAGCGAGAGGCTTTACATGCAACAGAATCAGGTCCAGTACGTGGTATGTGCTCAAGACCACGTACTTACCAGGAAACCCTGCATATGTATTTTGAGAAATCCAGAATTGCCAAACATAGATGCAGCTGCAGACCTTTAAAATCAGAGGTTACGTTTTCTCAGAGCTTTAACGTTTCACCAGACCATCATGCATCGAGTCCGCAGCCTGTTGGCTATGAAGGCCCGTTCATCTGTTCAGTACCTTTGGTCCACGTCGCCGTGTGTTGGCTCAGGCTTCACTGGTGCATCTACTTAAATCACCAATCAATAGCTAATTCTGCTGCCTTAACTACTGCAATCAGCCCCACTAGCCTGCTACCTCAGTTTAATGCCTTACATATGCTGCAGACAATTAGCTGCCAGCGACGTCTCAGGCAGAGGAGATGAATGAATAAAACCAAGGCTGGGTGTTTACTGCATCATGTGTAGCTCACTGATGAGCCATAACATTAAAACCACCTGCCTGATGAATGCTGTGAACGGCTCCTGGTCGCTCTGACACACGCTCCATCAGGTTGGGATCTGGGGGAGTTTGAACGCCGACGTAGCATCAGAGCACTTTGCCGTGTTGCTCGAGCTGGACTGGTTTCTGCAGCGTGGTGGTAGGATGCACTGTCCCGCTAGAGGAGTGCTGTTGCCGTGGGAAACTATGTTTAGATGGAGGGTACATGTTAAAGTAACGTCTGCATGAATACCGAGACTCAAGGTTTCCCTGAAGAACATTTCCTTGTGTGGATATGATCCTTTAACCTGTTGTTCTGATGCTGTGGCTGATGTTTATAAGAACCTGTGAGCCTGATGGGTCGACGGAGTAAAACGCTTCGACGAACAAATCAAACTAAGCGTTCATTTGTTTTACAGCCAATGTATTGTGTTTGCCTCCCCATTGATCGTCATGGCAACCTCGGATGTACACTGATGGCGGTACAGGTTGTTGTGCCTTCCCGAGAGAGAGAGATGGAGTAAAAGCACTTGAGTTGTCTTATAGAGTCTCCAGTTACTCACGATGGAGGACGACAGCGGCGACACCTCCCAGTGCCGCTCCAAACACAACAACGTGTTACAGTCAGTGTGTATCACCCACAGCACCGTCCACACGCCAGATCTGACCTGGTTTAGCCCCGGTGGGAGGACACACACACACACACACACACACACACACACACACACACACGAGCTGGACTGCTGTTGCATCAGACAGCCACAGTCCCCATGTCGGCCTCCGCCAATGAAATAACAGGTCTGGTCCGTCTCTAAATATGTCCCTCTAAAAAGAGCAGCAAAGTAAACACAGCCGTGGCAGACTCCAGACCAGTAAGTGAGGAGTACCGGGCCCAAGGTCAGTCACCCATCTCTAAACTGGTTCCAGTTAGGCCAAACCCCACCAAAGGCAACGAGCTCCAGACAAATCAGGCCTGGCTTTGTTGTTCCACACATACAGAAATAACTGCGTGTGGGGGAAGGATGTTTAGGCTTCAGATGGGTGAGTCTCTGTTTGGACTGAGGCTGAGGTTTTGAGCAGACAAGTGTATTTCATGCGCAGGTTGTGGAGCTGTAATTTGCTGGACTTGGTTCATTCCGGGTTGAACCACTGCTGCTCCATATTGCTGCCGTCTCCGGGGCCTTCCAATGTATTTTCTGCCCTTGTACTCACTTCAGCACATTTGGCCGGCTGCCATGAGCCGAGGCTCATTTAGCTTCACAGAGGTCCAGATCCACGTTATAAAAAGTCTGAGAGAAGCAACGCATGACCAGGAATTCACTCATTATTGCTTTAATGTGTTTTAAGAAATTTATTGCACAACAAGCAAAACTACAAACCGACCACGCCGAGGAGAGTTTGTCTTGTTTAGAAAGATTTTTAGACGCTTCTTCTTCTGAGGAGGTTACATGTTTCTCCTCCCTCTTCATTTCCTTCCTTTTTTATTTCCTTTATTTCCTCCTTTCCTATCCCCTCCCCCTTGTGTCCTTTTGTTTCTCCTCATCTCCTCTCGTTTCCTCTCGTCTTATTTCCTCTCCACCTATTTTACTTCCCCTTCCCGTCTCCTCTCTTCCTCTGAAGTCTTAATTTTGCGTCTGTGAGGCTCCGCCCACTCATACCTCCACGTTCACGTCAGTAATTCTCCCCGAGCCAGTGATTCATCAGGGTGTCCGTAGAGCCACTAGATTGTCTGTTAATCAGACTTTAATCATCTCTCCGCTCTCTTGGAGGACTCGTTGTTTGTGTTTCGTGGTTTACCTGCTGCACACTCCTGAGTCACCAGCTAATGGTTTGAAGGACCAGGATGAGCAACACACACACTCCTAATGAGACCGATGAGTCAGACTTTAGGAAGTAGCTCTGTTTGACAGTTCACCGTCGAGGTAATGGGCTGCAGCTTGTTTTCTGTTATAGCTTGAACAAAAGGAACTATTACATCTTAAACTGACATAAAGCACAACAACGAAGGCACAAAACATGAAATAATAATGATAATAATAATGTGCTGATAATACAGTCAGTTAGTGTTTCTTGGACCCGTTGCGGCTGTAAGAAACAGTAGAAATCAGTAAAATGACTAAAATGTTTTTGTTGTTGTTGTTTGCACTGACCTCTTAATACACTCATGTCAGAACCATAAGCTAAACCCAAATCTACTTGATTATGTAAATGATAAGCATTGACAGAAACCTGTTCGATGGAGCTGCTGTGACTTGTTGTGGTTCAATGAGGGCCACATGTAGAAAGCCTGGAGAGGATCTGTTTGGTCTGTGGTGTAGGAAGACAGGAGCATCCTGCTGTGAGATGAACTGAATCGATAGGTGATGAACGAGCGGGTCAAAGGAGAGAAGGCCCAGCTGTGGGTTATAAAAGGTCAGCCTCCACTATGAAGATGGATTATTCTGACCTGTGACCCACAGAAACTGACCCGACACCAGACGGTTTTTAACCGCACAGCTTCAGGATGTTCTTGACAGTAGAGTGACGACAAAGAGGCCTCGTCTTACGGTGACTCCTGTGCGTCTCCAGGTGATGAAAACCTACCACATGTACCACTCGGAGAGCATCAGCGCCGAGAGCAAGCTGAAGGAGGCCGAGAAGCAGGAGGAGAAGCAGATCGGCCGCGGCGACCCCGTCTTCAGCATCCGGATGGAGGACAAGTACCAGCGGCGCAGCTCCGTGAAGAAGATCGAGAAGATGAAGGAGAAGGTAAAACGAGTTCACAGTTAAACATTAGATTAAACATTTTAGTCCAATTTGTGACAAACGCGTTTAACCCTCGAAACCCCAAAACCGGCCGGCGCTTTAGAACAACATGTTTTATGTTTGACTCGCCAGAATGACGTTTATCAGAGAAACAGAACAAACAGTCTTTGAATTATTCACGTGTGACTTGTGGGAAATAAACAAATCTCAGCCTAAAATCGGACACGGCCAGAAAGGTACCAGTCCCTCTAACGGTCCTCGGACTCGCTGTTCTGTCAGAATCTGAGCCTAAAACCATTAGATCTTATCAACAGAACTTTATTCTGCATGTCTGCTTTAGAAACTGTTTGCAGTGAATAGATTCTGTAAACAAACATAAACGCCGTGACGGACTCTTGTGTAGCAAAACTTCTGGTTCTGTTTGGCTGAACTGGGTTTACTCAGAGTGAACAGGAGGAACATGTAGAATCTAATTAAAGATGGAAGTACTGGATCTATCTATCTATGGTGAACTTTATTCCTGTGTTGTAACACCAAAGCTCAACAATGTTCTACAAGTTTGTTCATGTTTACAAAATGAGGAAGCAAAAAAATTCAAGTTTCAGTTTTTCTTTTTTCAGGTTTGAGGCATTATTAGTTCATTATGCTGCACAAAGCTGCATCTATCTGTGGTTTTGTTGTTTCCATCGAGGTGCAAGACTCTAAAAAAATGAGCCCACAGTGAGTGAAAATTCATCTGGAGCAGAAAAACATCCATGAAGGTTTGAGGTTCTGAAGGTTAAACTGAAGGAGTTGGTAGACCCACCATCAGGCTTTATGCTTCTGTAGCCTCCAGACAACAACAGCTCAGGATTTAAAGTGTTCTCACATCCACATGTTTGATGTTCGATACGATCACAGAAACCTGCAGCAGCTTTCTCTCCTAAACCAAGTGAAGCAAACCGGCTGTGAGCAGCGCCACAGCCCGATGGGCCGACTGGGTTCTCTGAGAACAGGCCTGTTGTCTGTTAAGTCTCTGTGGCAAATGATTAAAGTCCATAGGAATGGATTTTTTTTTGTTTAGCACAGTTTTTCCAGGAATGCGTTTGGGAAGTGTTAAAATGTGGATGATCTGTCAGCGTGTGAGTCAGAACCCATCGGTCAGTCCACGGTGACTAACCAGCATGTTGGTCTGGTCTGGAGGAAGTGTAGGATCAAGACAGACTGAGGGCTCCTGGTTGAACCCGAGGACGCAGCGTGTTTTTAATTTAGGTTTTCTTTTTCCGCTCTTGTTCCTTTTTTTTTTTCTATTTATACCAGAGTTGAGCTTGTTTCTGCTCTAATGTTTACTGAGATGTTGTTGTGCCAGTAGTCCAGTCCCAGTTCTGTGACTCGCACACATTAAAGCACCATCACTTGTCAAAAGGCAATTCTCCACTCGTTAAACTCATTCCGTCTCGCTCGCTCTGTTGTTGTCTGTTTCTCATTCTTGCCTCCTAATTCTCTCATCAGCGTCAAGCCAAGTACTCGGAGAACAAGCTGAAGTCGATCAAAGCGCGGAACGAGTACCTGCTGACGCTGGAAGCCACAAACTCGTCCGTTTTCAAATACTACATCCACGACCTGTCGGACCTAATTGATGTGAGTATGAAGCTGCCAGGTTTTGTCAGCTGTGTTCTGAGACGACTTCCTGTGCAGCTCAGCCTCATTGCCTCCAGTGAGGCTGAGAGAAGTTTTCAGGCCTGACATAAACAATGCTCACACTTCTGACTGAGTCTTCCTCCTCAAAGAAAGCTTTCCGAATGCTTCTTTGTGCTTCTCCTGCAGAGGACGAGTTACTGTTCAAGGGTGTTTTCACCGACCTTTAGAAGAGATTTAAATTCATAATCAAGGCAGACTGATGACTTAAGCAGCTGGGCCTCATATGAAGGAGACTTTCGGACAGCAGACTGTGGGTTGGAAATTACAGTGCAGGACAGAATTAAAGCAGCTTATTAACTTTTGTGATGAAAACCGTTCTTTCCTCCCTCCATCCTCCATGTCATTATTGAAATCCCACTCATTATATTTAGTTATACTGTATTTCTGACATTATGTCACGGTTCTGAATCCATTTTTCCACATCTTTGGGAGCGAGGAGTGACCCTGACCCTGCTTTTGTAATTTACAGCTCCTGGTCCGTCTCCGCTCTGCCTTCAGGCTGCTCTGTCCGACCTTTCTACTGATAAACATGACTTATTTATTATTATGGCTCACCTGGCTTCCTCTGTTTTTTTGAGAAACAAACTTACTGCACCACTTTCTGTGGCGTTTCTAAGGAAACAGGAGAAGGCCAGGGTTTTTATTTTTTATTTTTGTGAGTGTTTGGGGTTTTATATTCCAGACAGGACTGAAGGAGAGAGAGAAATGCAACCTCTATTCAGCCGCATGCTGTGCGCTGAAATTACCCCTCTCCCCGCTCTGCTCGCAAGCCTTCACATCTCACCAGGGTGTGTGTGTGTGTGTGTGT